TGTTTGTATGGTATTTTCCTTACATATGGCAAGTTTTGTTTTGTTTTAAACCTACTTGTGATAATTTCCATTGATTTGTTGAATGATTTTGATTTGATCAGTGCTAAAGAGAAACTATATTATATTGCACATACTTTAAGTGTTCTTTTTATATTTAACATTTTAAAATCTGGCTTAGAAATCTGACTTGTGCTTATTGCCTGATGTAGTGAAGCATCATGTAACACATGTAACAACAGCCTTTTCCAAATCAAGGGCCAGCTTTTGACATGTAGCCACTGCATTATTTATATATGAAATATTTTAGGAGGTGCCTAAGGGACCATAAGTTGTACATATTGTTTCCTAATATTACAAGAGTTTATAGAAGTCAAGAAAGGAAATTTTGTCTCTTAACCAGATAAAATGTCATTAATATTGTTTACCAATTATGCTTTTTAAAAAAAGATTAGCACAAAGGTGGTAATACATTGGCCTTACATCAATTGGTTTTGCTCCTAGGTATACATACTTTTGGTGTTATACAATAGGAAATATTTTTATGGGATAAATCAAAAGGCCTGGAAGTGTGGGTCCCCATTATTAACAGTATGATACCTAAATAAATAATTTCATCCTTTTGCCTACTGTTGTTGAGTGATATACTGAACAAGACATAATCTCCATCATCTACATACACTTATCCAAAGCTTCCTACTACAAATTACAGATCTGAGATTGAGTTTTCAAGAAGTATCAAAAGAAAAGCCTACAGATACCGTTCAGACTAAAGTTGAGGACTGATTTAAGATTTTCAGGACACAATAGAAGCATAATGCTTCACCCAAGATCAACAAGGCTAGAATTATTTAGTTAGGAGTGAAATTACTGATTTTATTGTGGCTAAAATTCCTTTACTAATTTCTTCCTAACTTAATTTTAGTTGCTATCTTTTTCAATTTCCAGTTTCAGGAAAATATTGAACATCTTCTGATATATTGTTAGGAATACTTAAGAATGTCTTTGTAGGAAATATACGACACATATGGACTGGACTTGTTTAGAAAACAACAGAGGAGAGATTGGATGTTATACAAAATAATTTTACTATGCCCCAGTACTTCTCATAGGGATGTAGTTACTGACAGAGGACTCACTCTTTCTTAAAACAAGCAGTCTTTTATCTCTTCACAACTCTATCATGAAAACAGACCAAGTAGGACAAATGATTAGATTCAAATACCATATTATGAAAATACTTGTTTAAGGGTTGGATCACAATTGCTAGAATTCATGGTCTTGGTTTCCTGACATTTGAAAATATGGCTCTACTGTAGTTTTACTTGACAATATTAGTTGTGATGATGAAATTCCCCGCATGTGTTAAGGGTAGAAGATTAGTAAGTACAGCACATGTTCAAATATATTGCAATTAAAAAAGGAAGGGGGGATAAAGAACTGAGAGTAAATGATCAGAAGGCAGTACTTCTACAGGATACACCTGGATGTTAAACATGCTGGAGATTCCAAGTGCCTCAATTCAGCTGCCCACTGGCAATACCCAGTCTGGCCCATGTGGCCTGTGCCCAGGTAGCAAGCAAAATGCATGGTTCTCTAGCTTGTGTTGAGCACCAGCTGTGGCCAGGCATATTTTGTCTCTCTTCTTCAATACAGTAGGTCCCTGTCATGGACCAGGGTACCTTCCACCTTGCCTGAACCTGGACTCTGTTCTTAATAGCTCCACCATCACTGACAATGGCTGATGCATCTGTGAGAGAGATGAAACACATGAGCACTCTCCAGCCCTCTGTGCCGCTGCTGTGGCCCACCTGCTCCATTCTCGTCTTGTTGTTGACTTTCCTGAGCTGCAGGGCATATGACTCCATATGCCATCTATCCCCAGCCTTTTAATTTGGCTGTAGTCTTTTTGTACCATGGGAGAGTTCATCTGGTAATGTATTTGGAGACTACCCTGGCCTCAAGATCACTCCTACAGGATAAAAGTGGAAGCAAGAAAACATTAAGGAGACTAAGGCCACAGAGGAGATAGTCCCTCACAGATGGAGGTCTTGAGAGATGGTAATTTCTGTGTATTTTTTGAAAGAGAAAAGAAGAAGCTTCTTGAAAAAATTGAATGAAAATGTAAAAACAGACACAGGTGAAATTATTATCAACCAAATGGGGTGATTTCTAAATATAAGACTTGGCAGGGGAATATGAGATGTTCCATTTTACATATATCACCCTTAGTTTATGAAGTATGCATGTGAGGAAAGAAAGCAGAGTTGAATATATGTATGGAGGAGGGAAACCTGGGTTGGAGATGTAGAAGTGGAAATCTTTGATGTACAGATGGAGTTTAAGGTTCTGGTAGATGAGATCTCCAAGGGAGTGAGTTCAGACAGAAAAGTCCTAAAATCAGCCCTGTGCTGCTGTCTGTTGAGGGGCTGGGGAGAAGATATGGCCTAGCAGTAGATACAGAACCATTGGGTGGGTAGGGCTAGGGGGGTGGGGATGAGTTGGGGTTCAAGTGAAGGAAGTACAGAAGAGAGACATTGTCAGTCCAGTGTGTCAGTATTTTCAATAGCCAAGTAAAATGAAGACGGAGTGCTGATAATTGGCCACTAGATATAGCAAAGTGAAGATCTTAAAAACCAGTTAGTTTGTCTTCTAGCAAAAGTAGCACCATGGGGGCAGAGGGATTTCTTTCTTTTCTTTTCTTTTTATTTTCTCCTTGTATCACTGTGCCAAGTAAGGGTTTGAAACAGTAGTTATTCAAGGAACTTATTGAATGAAGGTTTGAACTAATTTCCTAATGCCCATTGAGACCTCTGTCAGTAATATGAGATGCTGGGCCAGGGCAGAGTACTAAACAGGCAGCAACACTAGCAAACCCAGTGGAGTAACAAAAGACTATAGTTCCTTTTGGCGTGGGTATCACAGTGCAGCTGGAGAGGAAAGCCCAGTCTCCTCATTTCTGCTGTCTTGGTTCTAACTGCTGGACATAGCAAATGCTTATAGCAAGGTCTGCTCTGTGTAGGTGTCTGGTCAATTCCCTAGCAATTCGCTAATCAGACACATTTTTTTTTTTTAAATAATTATTTTCCACACTAAACATATATTTACCTCTTCCCTACACTTGAAACCAATAACTGCAATTTTTATTCTTTTTTAATATATCAAATTTAAAATCTCTAACTGTATTAACTGACTTACCAGATAATGTAGGCCCCCAGAATAAAAGGAATAAGACTTTGGGGTTCCTGGGGGACAGTGGGGACAAAGGGAAGCTGAAGGGAAGAGTATGGGGCATGAAAGTCACCTTGTTATACAGATGAGTCTCTCAGGTTACAAAATCATTTCTGTGTGTTTTTTGGTCCAAGTGACTTTGCTAGTGAAAATTTCCTTTATAAGTGTGAGTCTCCCTTACAAAAGGGAAATATATATTTTATGCAGTCGAGGGTGAAGGAGATTTTTCTGTGTTGGCTGCTTCTCAGTTCTCTTCAGCTGAAAATAATCAAAATACTAAAACTGCTTATTTGGGGTGATATGTTCTGAGCCTCTTCAGTCACAACAGCTGAAACTGTAAAGGGAAGGTGATCACTTTCAATGTCCCACTGCCAGTCCCTCTTTATACAGACCCCATTCAGACACTGCCATCATATCAGTAAAGCTATTGCTTTCATGTAAGTAATTGAAATGTTAAGCATAATCAATAAAAATCTGGAATAACAGATAATTATAATTTTGGAGCCATCAAAAATAGCCTCAAGGGAAAAAGGGTTAGAAAAGCATTGTTAGGGAGGCTCAGGCATGTGCACGTATTATTAGGAGCTCTGATACTCTAGTTCTCTCCCCTTTTCAGGAGTCCTTGTATCTCTCCAAAACACTGGTCCCCCTAAGCACTTGCACTTCTTCCTTGCTCCATGAGGTACTTAGTATTTATTACCATCAGTATCATTTATGTAAATTTGAGATTGATGGGTTGGAGGTGTTAGACCAGGATGCAAAGACCACTAACTCCAATTAAAACCAAATTAAAGCAAGCTTATTATTTCCACCAGCCGAGCTGCCTCTCCCACCCCAAACTGCGGCAACAAGACAGCAGCCCAGCTTTATAGCCCAGAAAGTTACACAAAGGGGGTTTACAGGACACTAACACGTGCCCAAGGATAAAAGGGACGCTCATCACAGGATCCTTAATTTGCCCCAGATGGGAGTTCAGCCCTGTAGTATGCGGGCACACGGCAACTTTGCATTCGTGGATTCCCATACACCGTGTAAGCGCCAAACACTCTAAACTACTGCAGGCTATCAACTGTTGGAACAATTGTGCATCACAGCTCCTCTGCTTGATCTGGTGGGTGGCTCTGAAAAGAGCCTTTGGTTTTAGGAAGATTAGGTTATAGGGACTTCACTTTCCCTTGGCCTTGTGATGGCTCTCGGTCTTCTTGGGCAGCAGCACCGCCTGGATGTTGGGCAGGACACCGCCCTGCGCGATGGTGACTTTGCCCAGCAGCTTGTTGAGCTCCTCGTCGTTGCGGATGGCCAGCTGCAGGTGGCGCGGGATGATGCGCGTCTTCTTGTTGTCGCGGGCCGCGTTGCCAGCCAGCTCCAGGATCTCGGCCGTCAGGTACTCGAGCACCGCCGCCAGGTAGACGGGCGCGCCGGCCCCGACCCGCTCGGCATAGTTGCCCTTGCGCAGAAGGCGGTGGACTCGCCCTACCGGGAACTGCAGGCCGGCGCGGGAGGAGCGCGTCTTGGCCTTGGCGCGAGCCTTGCCACCCTGCTTACCGCGTCCAGACATACTGAAGTGACTTTGGAAGTCGCTGCAATCTAACCTGAACTAGCCAGAGCTGGCTACTTATAGTCATTCCCGGGCGCGAAAATGACACTCTGCCATTGGCTCCAATTACACTTTCACTTTAACCAATGGTATGATGGCTGTGAAATATACTTAGTTTGATTGGATAAAGTTAGTAGATGACGTTTCTAGAGTCACCACTAATTAGGGACTCAACTTTGCCCCAGAACCTTCCAAAGGAGACGCAGTTAAGTCGTACACTTTTTGTTCCTGTTGTACTTTTCGGCAGCTCCTCTCCACCATGCCAGAGCCCTCTAAGTCCGCTCCTGCCCCGAAGAAGGGCTCCAAGAAGGCGGTGACCAAGGCGCAGAAGAAGGACGGCAAGAAGCGCAAGCGCAGCCGCAAGGAGAGCTACTCGGTGTACGTGTACAAGGTGCTCAAGCAGGTGCACCCCGACACCGGCATCTCGTCCAAGGCCATGGGCATCATGAACTCGTTCGTGAACGACATCTTCGAGCGCATCGCGGGCGAGGCCTCGCGCCTGGCGCACTACAACAAGCGCTCGACCATCACGTCCCGGGAGATCCAGACGGCCGTGCGCCTGCTGCTGCCCGGGGAGCTGGCCAAGCACGCCGTGTCGGAGGGCACCAAGGCGGTCACCAAGTACACCAGCGCCAAGTGAGTTCGCACACCGCGGAGCGGTAGCCTCAGCCCACACCACAAAGGCTCTTTTAAGAGCCACTCCCTCCTCCAAAGAGAACTGGCACTCGCATATTTTATCGTGCACATTTATTTGTTGCACAAAATAGTTTCTATGTTTCATACGTCTTGTTTGAAAGTACTTTGCAATTCACGAGCATATAAAGAAGGTTACTTTTTTCTTCCCCAAAAATAGCCCACTCTGTAAGTGCGTGTACCTGGCGAAATTTAGTTAGACACTGCATAATCTACCAGTGTCCCTTATTAATGGGGCACTAGACATCAAGACATGGAGAGTACTCATTTAAGATTTTTCTTTTGAAAGCGATGCTGTTTCTCCCCTATTTGAATTTGCCAAATGTTAGGAAAGAAAAGCAAAAGCCAGAACCCCATTCGTGAATCCTACGCGTCAATCAGGGCTGAGTTGGTTCAATAGCCAATCCAGACGCTGCGCGGGCAATTTGAAAATTAGCTACCGGTTTCTTTGACTAGTTGGGAGACTGAGGCGGGGCTGTTGGTGGGGGACCTTTACCAGTCAACCCATCCTTTACTTTGTGGAATTCACTCTCTAGGACAAGTTGGTTCCTGCTCTCCTTTCTTGGTGTGGTCCACATGATGCTTTCTTTCTCTGTCACTCTCACTTCATATGTCTCTACTAAGTGGAATAAATTTGAAAAGGAAAGGAGAAAGAAGAGCCGTTCCACTATCCCTCAACCCAGACTGCCTCTGGACAGTTTTATTTGCCGAAAGTTTAATGATAACTTTTATTCAGTTAGTGTACTCCAGTAACTTAACTAATTGATTTATGGGTGTTTAAGTGAGAATATTCTGCGCACGTGCAACAGGAAACATACAAGAATAGAGCAACAATATTAACAGCGAGCTCGTGTTTACGGTAAAAAGGATAAACTCTAAGATTGAGGTATGTTCACAGGATGCTTATCATACAGAGGAACGTCAGTATTAGCTTCATGATAGCATTTTATAAATGTAAAAAAAATGATATCACTTTTTTAGAGGTTAAAAAAAACACCCCAAATTATATAGTGTTTAAGTGTATTTAGAAGCATGTATATGATAATAAACTTTTAAAAGGAGACATTCATAAATACATTTTTAAAAATATCCAGCAGTGGCCCCTGGTAATAAAAACAGGGAAGTGGAATGGGGAAAGCCACAGAGGTAAGGACAAATAGCTGCAAGCATTTTATTTTGGAGGTTAGAAGTTTGGCCTGTGTGTTTGATATAATTTGCTTGCTTTATACGTTACATGTATATTATCTATGTTCCCTTCATGTATCAAATATTGTACTGCAGATAGTGAAAGTAAACATGTAAAAATAACTTCCAAGCCATGTAACTTGTATTCAGAAAAATGTGTAAATGAGAACCCTGTACTTAGTAGTGCTTCTCCAGATTTTATTTCTTTTAGAGAGAAGGAAAGGGAAAAGAAGACTGACAGACCATTAAAAAGGCCCATGGATTCAGTAAGCTCATTCTTTTGGTTAACATTCATTCAGCATCCAACCTCCAGATATCTTTGCTCCTGATTCTGCAGACTTCTAGGAAGTTCTTGGGGGATCCTGGTGGGACTTCAGTTGGTTTCTTCACATTATTTGATGTATTGAATCTGCATGTAGCACAAAACTGGTAGAATTCATGCTTCATGAAATTCAGCTAATGAAATGCTCTTTCCCCTGCTTCAGCAGCTACCTAAATCCCCAGTGAGCCTCCAAAGCTGGCTGTAGTCTGTTTCCCGCTGGAGCCTGGAGAATAAGGCCTGGGTAAAACTAGACTTCCTTTAGTTCCTCCAGCTCTTGTAAACCTCACATCTGCACAGCCTCTCCCAGAATCTCCGTGCCATCTCTCTGTGGTGTCTATGTGCATAGGTATTTTGTATGTCATACATTACAGGTGTGGGTGTGCATCCCTCCATCATTTTGTTAGAACAGGCATTGTACTTTTTTTTTTCAGTTATATATCTTCTCCCACTTCTTACCACCAACATATTTGAGGAGGGTAAATTCACTCTATGTTTATTTAATGATTCTTTATGGCACAGGTGACTTTCAACTTCTGTCAATGTAGTCAGCAGCAAATTGGTCTAACCAGTTATCCAGAATGAGGGAAGCAGCGGATACAATCCAGGAGAGGAAATGAAAATGATTTAGAGGGGTTAAGTTTTCTAAGTATATTCTCTAGCCAGGATGAAGATGACAGAGGCTACTGCTTATTAAAATTACACAGGGAAGTCACAGGCATATATAATAAGTTTTGGTTATCAGGACCTACATGAGAGACTTGGAATTGTCAGAAGGGAAGAAGTCTAGAGGAATGCAGGGGTAGGGTGGCTAAAATCTGTGCAGAATGGAGAAACATACAGAAGGAATTTGTGATCTCTCAAAAGATTTATGTATCAGCATCATTGGTCTCCATTATTTAGAAAGTCAAAATTCTGGAAACACACAAAGAAAGGAACAAACAAACAAATCCCAAATCAAAAGAACTCAAGGGTAGATTTTTGTGTTATTTGCATCTTGGTGACCCCAGTGCCTAACCTTTTGTTGCTGAATAATCTTGATGAATTGATGACATTTCTTACCACCCAGCTTGGGAAACTGATTTCCCCTAACTTAAAATAGGATGTTGCTTCATTGTTTTATTCTGGAATTCATACCTGGTATCTTCAATAATTTATATAAATTGTTTCAAGTATTTTTTTTTTTTTTTTTTTTGTCAATCTTTCCCCCAGTTTCAAAAAATAAAAAGGGCCAGGAATGTAGCTTAGTGGAAGAGGGCCCTGGGTTCAATCCCAGTACTAGGGAGAAAAAAAGAAAAAAGATTTTCCCTGAAGAACAATTTATGGAGCAGAAAAGAGCACTCTCCACCTTTGAAGTAGAAGAGGGAATATGATCTTGAAGGACTTTACCCCAAGTTGTGTCACCACAAGGGGCCCTTATTCAGCCTAGAGGAACTTCATTGGAAAGAGAGCACTCCTTCCCTGGGAGCCGGTAAGAAACTTGACAGAGCTTAACTTCAGTCCTTCCAGATTCAGGCATGCCACCCTGCTTCAATTATGACTTTATAGTGGACAGATATGCTAGCCATTCAAACACACTACTTCTGCAGGTGGACATTTTATCCATTGCCTTTCGCTTCCTAACTTTGACTTCTGTGGCTGTGCTTTTCTGATACAATCATCAGATCTTAAATTGGTTCCTGTTGGGAGACTTTGGTAATGCAAAAGTGCAGCACCAAAGCCCCAATGAATCAAAACACAACCCAAGAGTGTTTTCCCAGACTTGAAAATAATTAAGAAATTGCTTGCAAATGAATATTCCTTGGGGTTGATGCATGTGAGTGGTTTCACCAGGGTTTGTGGAGGACCTGAGGTGGAAGGAGCAATGCTGGAGGTTGGGTACTGATAGGTTCTGAGGACAAGTAAGCCATCCCCACAGGAGCCCAGGACTCCACTGTTCAAGGAAGAACAACAGAGCACCTGAACTAAAGTTCTGTGGTCCTGCTAGAGAGATGCTTTCTATTTTTGAATTGAGAAATGAGGAAAAGTGAGAAGGGAACAGAGGTTTTGAAGTTACTGATTTGAGAAGAACCTTTAGATCCCAAGACACAAAGGCAGACACCCAAGTCAGGGAATTCGACGGCCAGGTCCCAGTGCAGGCCTAGAGCAACAGCTGGTGTTCTGACCTTCTACCTTCTCCTGTGAGGTTACGGCTTCTGTGTGAGAAGCCGTGTTCCCACACCTGTCAGTCCCAAGTCTATCTGCTTATATCTAATTTTTTTTTTTTGGTCCCCTTTCCAGCCTGAAATCAAATTCTTAGGTAGTAAAGTTTCTCTTAATGTTTTGAAAAAACGAAAAAAATCACTAAAATAACTTACTATGGTATAAAAGCTAAATAAGAGAGAGTTATTTTAATAATAAAGGACATGTTCTCCACATATAAATGCTTGGGCCTTACACTAGAAAACTGAAGTTTTTGGCTGTTTTTATCTTAATTGGAATTACCCCAAATACAGATGGAGCTGGCCAACTCAGGTGACTTAGATGCCAGCAAGAGTTGCTCTCAATGATGCCACTTTTCTTTATTGCAAATGTTAATAACTCTTGGATGACATTGAACAGAACAAAATATAATATTTTCTTAATTCATAAAGTGATTACATTCTTGGAAAATTTAGTGCATATTAAACTACACACAAAAACTACCTGCCTCTTGTGCCTATGTGTAGAGGAATTAGGCTCTAGGCTCAGAGAGATTTTTCACCTTCAGGTTTACTTTGAGATACGTGGAGTGGAGTTGCGACATGACATAAGACAACTCTTTGCAGGAAGTCTAGTCCTTTACTAGTAGTGTATCTCTTTCTAATCAGTGGGACAACCAAAAGCTGACTTGCCTAATTTCTAGAATATTCTCTAAGGGTTGGCACTGTTCTATGAGAACACCAACATTAATTATTTTACTGTAGAAGCTATGCAGTGGACACAGCAAAGCTGCGAGGGTCTAGAAGAAATCCAAGAATGTCTCCAGAAATAGTCTGCAAAACTGAGGTATCACCAGAACTCTAGAGCACCTGCCCAGACAGGCCAGTAAGTCCACATGCCTGGTTTGGTGGTTCTAAGTGCCTTTTCTTCCCAGCAGCTTATCTATGGAAATAGAATGAGCAGAGGGTCTTAATGCTGAAGAGGTGGACCGCCGGAGTACGGCTGGAGCAAATAACCGGCTGCAGCAAATAACCAGGGGGTGAGGAACAACTTGTGTACGTTGATACAGCAGGAGTGGAAGCCCTTTAATGCAGGACAGGAGCAGTATTTATACATTCCACACAGCTTATCTAATTATCATAAACTAGATACATCAGTCAACCAATCAGGAATCTCCACACTTAATGGCTCACTTTTGTTACTTCTCAAACCACTCCCTCTGGCATTTTGCCAGGCACCATCCAGACTTGTTTACAAACTCTAACATTCCCCTGGCAAAATGCCAGGTGTTATTTTGACTTGTTTACAGACTCTAACAGTGGACAGCCTGTCAGGCCAAAGGGTCACCAAGTCATAAGTCCTCTTCAGCAGCTCTGGCACGGGCCACCTCATCATTTACTGCGGCTTTTTCATCTGCAAGTGTCCACCCCATTGGCTTTCAAGGAAGGCAGCAGCCATGAGATTCACATGCAACTTTAGCCTGATGAACAAAAAAAGCTGAGGAGGACATTGGACTGCAAGTTGTTGGCCGCCTCTGGGGTTCACTGAGATACTGGAGCTCCTACATATACCAGAGACCTTAAGAACCCATGGGAAACTGATTCTGCTAAAATCATGATGCACAGCCATGCCAACCCAGACAAGGGGCCAGCCCCGCCCAGTGGCCTCCCGGGCAAGCTTTGCAGCAGCCTTTGCACTGCAGAGCCTCGGGAGCCTCCTCTAGCCACAGGTCACCTGATGTCTACATTTTCTGCTGCTAAATCAGTCAGATTGCCCTGGGTGAAAATCCATGGCCAAACATGGAACAAAGCACCTGGCAGCTGCTTAGCCTGGGCCACCATCCCAAAATATCCCCCAAATTTATTTTCAGTTTTCACATCCTTTTTTTTTTTTTTTCAAGTCATAACCAGTTTTATTGCAAAAGGACCCTGTACACATTTATCAATTCTAGTACCTTAATAACTACCCAACAAGTCATTAACATACAGAAACATGCATCATGAGAAGCAAGAAATATCACCCATCCCTTCTGCATATTAGCAACTTGTCACTCCTGAGCAACAGTGCTCACATCACTGAGGTCTGTGAACAGTCACTTTTCGCATTCATCCTGAGTGAAAGATGGAATGACTTAAGTACAAATGCAACATATTATAAACAATTTCTTACAAAAAAAGTCACAAATTAAACCAAAGTATTTTACAGAATTTACTACAAAACGCCATAAAAACTGCCTTCACTTAAGCTCTCTCTCCCCGTATCCGGCGAGCCAACTGGATGTCTTTGGGCATGATGGTGACTCTCTTAGCGTGGATGGCACACAGATTAGTATCTTCAAATAAACCCACCAGGTACGCTTCACTAGCCTCCTGAAGGGCGCCAATGGCTGCACTCTGAAACCTCAAGTCGGTTTTGAAATCCTGGGCGATCTCTCTCACCAATCTCTGGAAAGGCAACTTCCGGATGAGAAGCTCGGTCGACTTCTGGTAACGACGAATCTCTCGAAGAGCCACAGTCCCGGGCCTGCAGCGAAGAGGTTTCTTCACCCCGCCGGTAGAGGGGGCGCTTTTCCTGGCAGCCTTGGTGGCCAGCTGTTTGCGGGGGGCTTTCCCACCAGTGGACTTACGCGCGGTCTGCTTGGTTCGGGCCATTTTCTCTTACCCAACGCCGAAATCTTAGGCCGCTTCTCCGACCGCCGCGCCGAGCTGCTGCCCAGTGAAGACCTGCAGCTGCGGAGCAAAAGAACGATACTACTCCAACGAACGACCAAACCGCTCTGCGCCTTCACATCCTTTTCACTGACATGCAGTACCAGGCTAAAAGAGAGAGAGAGGGAAGTGCCAGGGACAAAATGAGGTGAACTCTAAAGGCATGCTTCCAGCGACCCGGTTAATCCATTCAAGTCGAGTGATTCACTGATTAGGTTACAGTTTTCTAATCTGATCATTCCACCTCTGAATATCCTTACATCGATTCATGTGAGCTTTTGGGATACCCCTCCTACCACACCATAACACGTCCTTTAAATACATTTTTTTTTTTTTTAGAATTAACAACCCCAAATATGGTAACTTAACTTTGGTAAGGGGATATTTTGTATGACAGGGAAGAATGAAACTTTTAGATCCGGAAGAAAAGTGAATTAGATTTAGTCTTCTATTAAGTGAGACTTCAGAGAGATTTACAAAGATGTACAGCAATGCCATTCTCTTACTTTTTTTCTTAAAATCATATCTATTTTTTCATAAACTATGCTATGCATGCTAACATAAAATGGATTTATCATTATTATCTTAAAATAAATTAGCAACATATTTTTTTCAGTTTTAATATAGAACATGAACAATGTCAATGATAATGACCTATAAAACATAAACTCTTTGGGTTCTCATTATTACTTCCTTTATTTATTTATGTGGTGCTGAGGATTGAACCCAGTGGCTCATACATATCAGGCAAGCAGTCTACCACTGAGCCATGACCCCAGCCCTTGGATTCTCATTATTTTCAAGAGTATAAATGGGCCCTGTGTTCAAAGTGTCAGAACTGCTGCTGTAAGGTCTGTCACAGAGGAGAAGTTACAATCCTGTTTCCCAGTCTATTTGGAAGATTCCCTTCTCTGTGTTCATCCCATTAGATACACAGATCCATTTAACTCATTGCATTGTTGACGTTTAGGGATTGGAACTTTTTAATATTTAGTTTTATCATCGCATAAAATATTTTTACATAGTTCCAAGGTCAAATGAAACTACATTCAAAGAGATCTTTTCCTTCATCATAAGGCCTATTATGGTTTAGATATGAGGTATCCCCCAAAAGCTCATGTGTGAGAATGCAAGAAAGTTTAGAAGTGAAATGATTGGGTTCTGAGAGCCTCAACCTAATCCATGCATTAAGCCCTTGTAGGGATTAACTGGTTAATAACTAAAGGCAAGTATGGGGTGGTTGGAGGAAGTAGGTGACTGGGGGATGTGCCCTTAGGGTTTATATT